TTCATGCATTTACTGTAGTATCAATACAACTCTCAAAGGAACCATCTGGAGGCTTTTTGCTGTAATATTTAGCTTCCAAGGATGCACAGTGCTGGGGATAAAGCACCACATCATTCAGTACAACAGAAAAGATGGCGGTATTTGCAATGGATTTGCTGAGGTGAGTCAGAGGTTCCACCCCACCATTGAGTCGGCCCTTTTGCTGTGTTCCATCAGCAGAAGCGACAGTCCCTTGAGGTGGAAATGGGTGAAAGAAAATTAACAGCTGGACTGATCCTATACTGATCCCGTCCTTGCTAGTTTAAATCCTTGAACTACTTGGGAAAAGTTGAGAGGGAGAATTAAAATCAGTAATATAGCTATTGGTCAGCTTCTACAACTCAACAACGCAAGCCAAATAACCACTTGTGCACTGAAAAAGCAAGGTAAAGTCTTGATGTTGCTGTTAATGTGTCCTCATCATTCTGACTTTTCCACTGATCTAGCCAAAAAAGAAAATATATGGAGATGTATTTAAAGCATCCTACATTTGAGATGAGCAGATGAAGATCTTGGATCTGCTTCTACTAAGTCCCCAACAACTTAAATGAGATTCGACAGTTATGGAGGAATTTTTAATAGTATAGTAAGTAATAATGTTATGACCAAAAAGGAAATCAAAATATTAGAATAATTTATTGAAAGCTTCAGTGGGTTCAAATACTACGAGCTACAATTCAGTCAAAACTGAACTCCCCACTGTCCCTTGCGGAAATCTTTAATCTTTCTCTCCTTTCTCTTTAGTATTGCAACTAGTATTGCATCTCTTCATTGTTGGATGAAGTAAATCGAGAGAATTCCGAGTGAACAGAGTAGAGATCTCTTGTGACGGCATACTCATTGATAAGGCCACATAGAAAGGGGTTAAGATTTAGGAGGTGGCTGGTGAGGAGAAACTCAGAGCTAATGGACTGTATCCTTCACAATCTATCAGCTCTCTTGACAACTATCAACGGACAAAATCAATACAGATGTGGTCAAAGATTTGGCAGAGCTCCAATGGGAGCGCTCACCTCAATCTCTCGACGCCATTAACTCTTCCTTTTGTTTCCATCCGGCTGACGGCAGTAAACGAAGACCACACAAGAACAGGCTCTACTGTTCTTTTCTGGATCAAGTGTGCGATCCAGTGTGATTCGGCGGCATTTTGGAAAGCTTTAGTTAAGCTATCTGGCACTCATCAAACCTCATGTTTGAGAATGTCTGAGTCTTGAGAGGTTGAGCTGCTCAATGCTGTTTTATACATGATAAATGTGAGAGGTTTAACCATCATTTGGATCATTTGACGAAGAACAGGATAAAAAAGAATGTCCATTTGTTACATGAGTAGTGTGTTAAGTTTCGTAAGACGCGTTTGACAAAGAAAAAAGACCCACGTCACTGAAAAAGTGTTTGAAATCCAGCTTTCATCAAAGCTGTTGACATTTTACAACCAATGAACTGACGTGACCATATTTGTCTCTCAGGCAGTGGTAACCATGTCTTAAAGCGCACCCTACCTGATGTTATAATGAGATAGCATTAAATAGATATGGGCTGAGGGAATCGATAACCATTGATTAACACTTCAATAATTGTCTTTTTACTTTTTGCCTTTCGTTCATTTTTATCTAACATACCCAGGAGTTTAAAAAAAGCAAAATCTTATCCATTATCTGTTAAGATGAAAAAGAGAGTAGCCACCAAGCTTCCTTCTTGTAACAAATATTTTCAAAAATCGACCCCCCCTCAGAAAAATATTTAATCAAAGTCGGCCGAACATAAAAGGGGAGGGAATGCATTTTTAACTTGTCTTTCTTCTGGTGGTGTTATCCTATCCTGCTGAAATAAGGCCATCTCACCAGCTCAGAGTGAATTGTGGATTGTATATAATTACTGATGCAATTGGAATATTTCAGACTGAGCAAGATAAATTAAATGATACGAATCTCAGTCTTTTTAGTGCTTATTTCCTCCTCCAATGTGTGTGAGACGAAAGCACTGACATTACATTTCTTTTTTTTTTTTTATTCCATTTGGGGGCATGAGAGCACAAAGCATTTACTTGCTGGAAAAGCAATTATCACGAGTTCTAAAGACGTCTGCTGACAACAAGCCGTGTAGAGCTCTGGCAACTTTATATTTACCATTTTTGTGTTTTAGTCTGTAATTTGGTGGGAAATTGAACTTATTAAAACAACTACCTATTGGACATGTCTGACTACAAAGATATATATTTTATGATTTACTCCTGCAATTCTACATTCGAATTCAAAATGCAGTACTTGTACGTGTTCCTGTACTTAAGATTCATCACAAACTCGACAAGGAATAGTGGATATTAAGTCGGAAGAAGCATATGACTTTCTAATTTAAAGCACAACCCGAGGGCGGTCTGTCATTGTTAGACAGATGAATGGCATAATTGCTCTGATATTTGAAATGTGCAAGCTGTGGGTGTGTACTAGAAGGGTAATGACTTTTGAAAAACACAAGGGTGACGTTTCTGTTTTTTTGGCTTTTGGCTGCATATCCTTTAAGTGGTTTTCTTTTCTCCTTTTACAATAGTTACTGGATATTTTGTGATTTCCAGAGTTGAAGTTGTCTTTTTAGGAGAGCTACTATCGTCATCAATGATCCCAACCTTGCAAAATGTATCAAGCAATAATGTCTCTGACTCATTTAGGCAGAGAGGCGTATGGATGCGTGGACCTACACAGCAGGAAACATATGCTCCGTATGCTCAAGGTTATGTTTCTAAGGAAACATTGATTCCTGCTCAGTAGGCTAAATATTGGCTTACTCGTAGAATAAAGAATATTGACATTCCATTCTTTGCAGGCTTTTCTCAATTGTCCCATGGACTATTTGAGATATTTAGATAAACCTTTTGAATTGACTGGACTGTTTTCTCAAAGAAATGATGGGACAGCAGAATACATTACATTGACAAAAAAAAAGGAAATGAGACTACTCTTCCTCAGCGAATGATCAGATCAAATTGTAGCAACGGTTATAATATATAAGGAGCTTGATAACGAAGTTTCTTTTTAAAATGGCTTTTTTTTATTCTTGAAGCCATGAGAAACGTTACAAGGGACAGGGGACATGTGCAGCAACCTGTTTACCTTGCACCAGCACAACACTAAGTCTGGTACTGGCAGAAGTGATTAAAGGGCAGCCGTCAGGAGATGAGATTTTATCATCCCCAAACAGGAGTAGAGCAGAGCTGACAGCAGCAACACTTACACCTCACATGGGATGGGCTCAACCAAGACAAATGGAATTATGTCTTGCTCTCGTTTTGTCAAGACCCTAATCTGTCTGAATCACTGCAGGTTTCTCCTCCCCGGGGGGGTATGTGAGTCCAGAAGTAAACAGTATTTGCTCTTTTTCCATTCTCCCTGTTAAGTTTGGGAAGACAAGCGTGAGGCAGCGTTTTAAACTCTACTTCAACGGTGTTACTGTGTATGCTTTTCTTTCAATGAGCCAGTTGAGCCATCTGTGTGTACCTCTAATATAATCGCATAATCATACCTGTTTTGCACAGCAGTGGCCTGTTTTTAAACATAACATCACACACAGTAAGATGCAAAAGAGGCTCAAGTGATGCGTCTTTCTGAAGGGAAAGGAAGGAACTAAGGAATTAAAGAATGAATGGTAAGCACATTTCAATAAAACACACCAAGCGACATTGCAGCATTATCACTCTGTGTGTGTTTTAATCTGAGGGTTTTTTTCTTAGCAGGTCCCGTCATGCATGACTCTGTGTTTGTGTGTCCCACTGTGGTGTCGATGGCCGTCACTCTGCACAGCGTTCACATGGCAGTTACCCCTGATAATGTCGTTGTTATCCGTGATTCTTGGCACCCGCCCTCAAGTCAACACTTTTAACTCGCACTGTTTGCCCCGTTGGGCGTGAGCTCGGCTGCCACAATTGTCAATCATAGATTTGCTTTAAATTCCATGAACATAACCTTTAAATCCTCATGATGGATATGATAATTTGGCCAAATAATTCCCATGACAACTGAAACTCAACTGTTGAAGAGACTGTTGTCCTCGGTAAAAAGCTAGTAAAGAGCTAAACATTTTGTATTGTCAACAACACCCCCCAACACTGGATAGCCCTGATTAATGTAAAACGTGATCGACACTTGAATAAACTGATCCCTTTATTGAAGTTTTATCATTGTCTCCTAAAATGTTAACTAATTTGAAATGGGAAAAATGTCTTAATTTTGTTAGAACGTGACATGTTTCCAAAGCATTTCACATTTCAGAAGGAAACTTTTTTATGTGAAAAGCAAATTGTTGATATTAGTCACACGTGCAATGTGTTTATTTTCAATATACATTTTTCATTATTTTGTTTCCTGAAAGGTTCTTCTGGTAACTAAAGAGTGAAGGCCTAAGAGCCCAGTGGACTGGTTTAAGGTTATAGAAATGAAGAGTTCACCTTTTTACCACCTTCAATGGGACCTTTGTAATATAATCCTGAGGGATTGAAAATGTAAACCTTGATCTATGGTGTCAACATGATGTACTTGGCACACTCCTCCTGCCTATGACTTTTGTGCAAAAAGATATCACCTTAGTACACAAACATATTGTGTATGTTTCATTTAACTCCCTGTTGTGCCCCCACAATCCAAGCTGCCTGTTAAGGAAAGAACATCTAAATCTATTTAGAGATACATTTAATTACACAATCGTGGAGTTAATTGGAGATGCTGATGTACTTCTTTGAATGTCGAACGCAAAACAGAAACCGTGTGTAGCTTTCGACTTTATACTAATTATTCCAGCGGAAGTCCTTTCATTTGCTGTATAATCAGGGCGTTACCAGGCTACAACCATAAACTCCTCTGCCATTTGGTTTGGCCTTTATAGTTGCCAGAACTTCATGCTTTTTAAAATGCAGAGTGAAGATGAGCAGCCCCCCCCCTTGTGTGTGCACACAAACACACACTCCCAACTTATTCATTCGCATTAGCTGCTTTCTGCCCAGCTTATGCAGAAAGCCTCCATTTCCAGGTGTACGTTTTTTTCATTACAAGGAGAATTGAAAAAGAGATGGGGAATACTTTTTTCCCAGTAATGGGTTCATGCATTTGAAGAGGAGCTTTGTCACCGGGGAATTAGCACTCCATGCATGCACCCTCTTGGCTCTCCCAGACGGCATTTACATCATCCGAAGCAGCGAGAGAGAGAGAGAGAGAGCTGGTAAGAGAGCGGGCTTCATGTTTGAGAGTGAAACATGGAATAAAAATCTGTGTTTTGATAAATATTTGCTAAACCAGATAAACTGCATACTTAATGTAGGGTGTGTCACTGAGTTATACTTTGATTCATCCTATTTCAAAAAAAATTGTGTTTTAACCACAGGGCTATCTCAGGAGGGATGACGGTGCCTGAAGGAAATCACCTCAAATTAATCTATCAACCTGCATGCTACACCGTGTCTCCCACACATGTCAGCCATTGCAGACAGCCTGTATTGAACTGAATGGAATGAGTGTATAAAAAAGAACTTCAGACCCGTGAAATGTGCTTGTGTATTTAGCAGGAACGCTTTTTAAAAGAGAGTCTGTCCGTGTCGTATTTTGCTGCAGCGTTTATCCCAAGCACAGTCAAAGCCAGCTGCTTACTTATGAGGACATTCTCTATTAGTTGGCTGATTATTACTATTCAGGACTTCTTTGAACTCTGAAGAGGCGAGTAAGGATTTCCCAATCAGCGAGGTACCAGTATGCGTGCATGTGCGTCAGTGTTAATCCAAAAAGAGAACCTGATGTGGTAACAGATCAAAGTGTACCGCCAAAGGAATACTTACTTCTGAATTAAATCTATTACTAAGGCTTTTGCATGAGATCCTATTATTTTCTTTTCACAAGGACATCACACAAATGATCCAACAGTTGTACATTAACACTCTATAGTCGTTTAGATAATCTAATTAACAAACATGATCCGACATGAATGTTCAGATTATGAAGCTCCTAAAGTCATAATTCTCAGACTCCCTCATATTGAGCAGAGGCACCATTTCAAAAGTTCAAATACCAGCGCACGAGATACAAAGAGGCGCCACATTCTATTGAACACTTCTGTGCTTTCAGTGTGGAGCCTTGTATCAACTTTCATAAATCTAATCTTTTGATGCAGGGTGGTTTTACATTCATCTAGAATTTACATTATGCTAGTGAAAAGCAGGAAATGCTTTGTGGATTTATCTTTGCCTCCCACACAGTTCTTGGCTTCTAATTTTCTGATAACGACGGAAAACGAGTTCTCTCCTTAAAAGACACAACTTGAAACTCCAATGTGCAATTAAAGAGGAATGGAAGTCTTGGACTCTTTCGTAATATAGGACCATAATAGAAATCCTGCAAAAGTCCCCGTGGTATTTTGTCCAACTGCATTTCTTGTCATCGGATTGTGTGAGAAGGCAATAGATGCCGTGTCGATTTTGGGAATTATTTTTTCCCCCTACTGTTATGTGTGACACCCGTCCCTGAACCACAGTGGCTCAATCTCCAAATCCTCAGAAAGCGCGCTGCTGAAGTTACTTCCTGCTCTGTCCGGCCCTTATCTTGGGATACAGCTGACAAAATCCAGACGGATTAGCCCTGACTAGAACTTAAACGAGTCACCTTCAAAGCCTCAAAGACGAAATTCAGTTACCACCGAGCAAAAGGTACTATTGAAAGGAGAATTTGGGTCGAATAATTTCTGTATTGAAAAGGGATGGAATCAATACTGATAAAATGAAAAAGACCATGTTTAAAATTTACTTTTAATTTTGATCAAACTATCAGTCTTTAACAGTCTTTCATACACGTATCTTTCCTGCAATAAAACATACTTAGAAAAAGGAAATGTGGTCCACAAGTCCTTTCTTATTATGATGTTTTATTAGTCAACATGATTTTGTAACATGTTAGTTTTCACTAATCGGACTATTAAAGGCAACTCCTCTGTACACAGCTAGAGGGTCACTTTCCACAGATTGTGAGGCACAGGGTGCGTACAGAGAAGGCAACTCTGACAAGCGGCAACGCAAAGTGGATTAATTGCCTGGTTAGACATTTGCGTTAAATTGCTTCTTTAAAAATGTTAGATATTATTTTACATCAGTCAATTATTGAGGAGAAAGGCAACAATATTGTTCACTGTAGGAGACATGTTGTAAAATCTGGTGTCTTGTTATTAAAGTAGGCACTTTGTCAATAAAACTAACCTCTCGTAGCCTAAGCATTAATGACCCATTGAATAAAGACAGAATACCACACAACCAAAGAAAATGAAAAACGATTTTGACCATGAACATTAATGTTCCACGAGAGATTTTTAAAATGTTGCTGAGCAAATTAGCAGGTTCAAATCTATTGTTCTAAGACATTGAAAGTAAAGAATATGTTGGTAGTCAATGTGAAATTCAAAAGTGAGCATGCCCTCCTTGTGCCAATTTCATTAGAGAACATCATGGATAAGCCTAAACGTATTTTAAATAGTATCTTCATGTCTTATTTTTAAAGAATATATCAAACATTCAATTCCAAAGAGATGTCACAGAATGTGCCAAAATGATCTCCCATTAACACCGGTACATCCTGGCCTGACCCTTTATCTTTTTTTGTCAAATGTAATTAACCCCTTAAATTCCTTTTTAATTTAGACTTGCACTCTATTTAAGAATGGCTTGAACATAATAACTTATGACAAATATAGACTCTGACCCAAACCATTGCAAGGTAAAACAGTAATTTGTTCAGTGGGAGAGTTAAACTTTACAAAGTTAGAGGTGTGTGAACCGTGCTTTAGTCTTACATACCTTGCTCAACTCAACTCAACTCTTTTGTTGTTGCAACATGTTATTGATAGGACAGGACGAACATGTGACTGAGGCCTGGAGGTAGTCACGACATTGGGAAGTGATGTAATTGCGTGACATAAAACATAATGAAGGAAGACAACATCTATTGTATCACTGAGCCTTTCATTGTTGCTGTGAATAATTACTTTCACTCAAAAGGATATTAAGGATAACTATCGAGAAGTCGCCAATATTCTCGTTGACATTCTTGCTTGCATTTTTAGACACAAAGACAAAGAGGCATCACTACTAAACTGTATTTACATAAACTTTTCATAATTTTTATTAACATTTTTTACTTTACTTTTCACGCTTGCCTTTTCTAATTTATAAATGACCATTTCGCCAAAAACAATTGAGCGTTTCACTAATTGTGTTGTTAATTAACCTAGACCAGGAGGGTATTTTCCTCACTTCTACTCTATTTCACCGTAACTGTAAAAAATTACAGAATTCAGAATTTGATTGATGTTGGGTGCCATCAGCTCCTTAATCGTGCACAGCGCTTCTCAACTGTATCACACTGAATCACAAATTGCCCATCTGCTAATGGAACCTCATGAATAATCCAACAGAGTGAGTGTTCAACAGTTAGTCCTCTTTCAAATGAGCATGAGTTAGATCTCACATCTTTTTAATGGTTGTGTGAAATCCACATTTGAAAAATGCAAAAAGTCATTTTATGTAGCGTTCACCATTAGTTGAAGCTGCTCTGCAACATTTTAATCACTGGTAAACATATTTCAATGGGTAAATGATGAAGATTAAGTGGCAAAGAAATTTAGCAATGTTTAAATTTAAGCTGGTGACACTCCTGCATCATGATGGCGTATAACATTAATTAGTACTATATAAAATGTCCTGAAGACTGCTGAACACTTCATCTTTGTTGTCTCCAATGTTTCCATCGCAACATTGTTCTGTGCTAATTTAGCAAGAACCCAGAAGGCCTAGGAAGGGTCTGTTCACTAATGAATGCTAAATAATTGTTCGACACCACCTCCGCATTTTCAAATGATTGCCTTTGTCTGCATCGGGTTGCTCGTGAGTTATACAATCATTGATCGGATGCTATTTCTCAACTGACTTGAAAACCTGTATACAGTTCATTATGATCACATGATTTATAAAAGAACAGTAAAATATTTAAGGAGTATCATTAGCAGTTATCATGGCAAGATCATTTGATTAATCAAAATAAATGTGATTAACTATCCTTCAGAGCTAAAAGAGGGCAGCAAAGACATTATTTTGGAAAGCTTTTTCATTTACAAACGAAAGGGAGAAAGAGCATGTTAAGCTGAGGACCGCTTTTGCAAGGTGTCATACCCAAATAGACTGTATTTGTAATTGTAAATGTGATGCAGATTAAATTTGCACCTTAAAAGACAACACCTGGAAGGGGCTTGTTCAGTTGAGTCTTTAACCGTACTAAACAAACAGTAGCTCATTTCCTTTAGAATTTGGACTAAATTGGACAACCTCGCTAAACGTACAGAGTGATGACTGATGTAAAATAATATCTAACATTTTTAAAGAAGCAATTTAACGTACACAGCTCGAAGAATTTCACAGACATGACTGCCACTTCCAGGCTAACTGGTTTGACAACCTGTTCGCCCGGATCGTTGAACACCTTCACATCATACTTCCCTGCTGAGGGAACTGTACAGGTACACAATGTAGGTACCAGGATGTATCGTACATCTCGGGGTACTTACACAGAAGCTAATGTTACTTTTGATTTATCCTCCTTTTTTTCTGATTGGGCAACTGTCTGCAGGACGTCAGTGAAGAAAGATGGAGCATCTGAACAGGAAGAGGATAACATCCTCTTGTTTAAATGCTAAATGCACATGTTGGACCATGGTGTTCAAACACTATATTATTGAATGGTTATGTGCGTGTCATTTATTTTAACTGATACATATGTAAATATTAGGGGTGGGAATCAACCAAGGTCCAACGATACAATATTATCACAATACTACGATATATACGATACGACATAGTCACAATACTGCGATTTGCTGAGTATTGTTATGAATGTATTACCTTGTGTCAACTGCAATTGTCCCCAATGGAAAACTTATTTACTTAAAAATATTTTAACGAATAAGATATTTTTCAGTCTGTCCATCTCACTTCAACCATTTGTATTGTGGCAAAATGGGTTTAAGAAGCAAAAAAAATGTCAAATGTTTGTGAACTACCGTACTATTACAGGTATTTTGAACAATGCAATGTAGTTTTGACGCAGGTCCTTGCACATTTTATTTAGTTTTTTAGCTAATTCTAAATGATCTCTTTGTCAAACCAAGTTTGTCCAGTTGTCATATCCATGTCTATCTTCCCTTGTTAAAAAAAAAACCAATAGTCCAGAGTTTTGATTTAAACAATGTGCATTCATAATTTCTTTCTTCAATAGCTCCATTTTGTTTTGACCAACTTCCTACCAATCCTGCTGACCTGTGACCTCTGCTGACCTCACCAGACAACAATACAGCACCATCTAGTGGTTTGAAGAAGCAATTTTATTATTCTAAGACCAATCATTGATGTCATAAAAGATTGGACTGCAATATTCCCATGTAAAATTCCATGCCCCGCCCCGCCCTAATAAATATTTCATTTTTATTATGTTTTATTAATAATTGTAATAGGTTAGTACTTAAGCCATTATTTTGCACCGTTGATTGAGATTGAGATGTCTCCTAAAACCAGAGACCCTGCAGATTCTGTGGGGAATGTTAATTAGTTTATTTTGCACTGGGTCTTCTCATTGCTCAACTCTGTGTTTCAGCACTTAAGCATAGACACTATTGATGGTAACTGTAGATTCGTACTTTCAAAATTAAATGTTTGCAAAAGTCATACAATACAGTGAAATTACATTGAATTCAGCAAGTAGGGTTGCAGGTAAAGCAGCCAGCGTGCTCACACTCTGACCCCAGCTCTAGATAGTTTGGACTAAGCCCCAAA